AAGACAAGAAATAGGGAGTGAGAGAGAGTCGTCAAGAATTGTAGGAAGAAGAGAAAAAAAGGACCAAGAAAAGTTGTTTCGACCATCTCGTCCCGGTTGCGCCTGTCCCGCTCGCCGCTGCCCGCCAACAGTCCCCTGACACACCAACGACAAGGTACCTGTAGCCTGCAGGGCTGACCGCCAGGCACGCCACAGCCGGCTCGGGTCGCGTCGCCGAGCTACCGTACCCAAGCGAAGCGAGGACCTTAAATGGACGAGACGTCGAAAATGAAGCGACCCCAATTCGCAACCGGACCAGTCCCCCAGTACTCCGAGGCTCTGAAACAGAGAGGCTGCGTCTATTGATGCGAGGGTATCAAGGGTAATGGTAGGGTATCGAGTGTTGCCGTCGCTTCCAAGTGCTAATAGAAACAAGAGAGCTATTGCTGGGTATCATTAATGTTTGTGGGAGAACCACTGCCAAAGGCTGCAGACAATCAGGGCAAAGATGTGCTGCTGCCACCACTCTTGGCAAAAGTCGCACCGCGCTCGCGGCGCACAGCCCAGCCTTTGAAGGCTAAGTTGAGAACGGTCCACGCCATGATTAGCGCGGTGAAACCGACCGTAATGACAAAGGTAAACATGGCGTCCAGCTCGTACGACTCGAGCGCAGCTACCGTGTCTTTGTTGCTGACGATGAAGGTGATGCCGCCGGAAATCAGACAGAATGACGAGACGAGTTCGGACGGCGGACGCGCTGGCAGGAACGATGTCGGCGGCGACAAGTACAGCATGATGTACGTGATGGAGCGCGCAAGAGCAAAGCCCATGAACATGTTGCCCCACTGCTTGTGGACCATGGTCGAAAGCATCGAAGATTGGTGGTGTGAGCCCATCATCTTGCCGAGGAGGAGGATGATGAGGGCCGGCATCGGGTTCAACGAGACGCTGTAGGACTTGGGTCGTTCAAAGTGGTCTTCGTCGGTGTGCAACATGTTGTTGCGGGTGCTCAATATCGAAGTGTTGAGAAGCTCCCGTACTTTTTTCGATTCGATGAGCATGCCCAACGCGCCACCGCCAAAGAACATGACGGAGATTGACGCGTGCTCCAGATCTTGTGCCGTCCATTCACCTCCCCATGCGGCCAAGTGCTCCAGGAAAACATTGGACGCGCCGTATGCACAAATGACAAAGGACTCGGTAAACTCTGCGGTCGGAATCCGTGCCTTGGCGCGGCCAACAAGCTCCTGCGGAGGCTTGACATTCCACGCCCAGCCAAAGTCTGCGAAGCTTCCCATCCAGCGGCCGAGGGTCAAGAGGCCATACCAGAAGAAGATGGCGCCCTTGACGTAGTGGGCCAAGATGTTGAAGATGTGATTGCCGCGCTGAGACAGAGTCAGTCATATGCTTGAGAAGCGCGGAAACAACCAGCTTACAGAGATACCGCCAACTGTGGTTGTGAGAGTCGCGACGGACACGAATCCGAGGACAAGGATTAGTCGCTCAATCAAGACATACAAGAAGCGCATAAACTTGAGGGGACGATCGCCGATGCGGGGCACAACGCGGGACATGAAGCGGTCCACGCGAGTGTTGCGCAAGAATCCGCGCTTCTCCTCGACAGCATCCGCGTCGTCAAATCCAACGGCCTCGTAGTCGTCGTGGGCGTCTTGAAAATGGCGGCGTTCCTCCGAATCGGCAGAAGGGGAGAGCGAGTTGCCAAACAAGGATCCCGAGTTGCGCTCGGTCCCATGGCCAGAGTCGTAGGACATGCGATTGGGTGCCGTCTGCTGGGCTTGCTGCAGCCGCTGATATTGCGCCATGAGGGCGGTCGAAAGCGGCTGGGTCTTGGAGCGGTTGGTCCAATCGGCGTACAAGTTGACGAGACCCAGGGCGACCCAGACGGCCGAAATCCAAAAGACCACCCACCTCGCTTTGTAGTGGGCATTGTTGGGATAGAGGTCTGGAGTTTTGGCGTCGTAAATGATTGCCGTGAACAGGGCGACTCCCTGCGAGGCGAGGAAGAGGAACTGGGCGGGAAGCGCGAAGCGGGAGCGCGCAATGCTCAGCATCACCACTGTGGCCAGGTCAGCGCACGAGCACGATTGATTTCTATTTGAGAGTCGAAAGCGCACCTGGCGGAGCGATGATGATCCAGTTGAGCAGAACAAGCGCCATATAAGTATACAAGAGACCGACGTTTTCCGAGTAGCTCCAGTAGCTCAGAGGCCAACCCTCTTTTCCTGGGGCAGAAAAGGCTTCGTCGGCTTGCTTGGGAGCGGCGTCGGCGGCCATGGTCATGTCCATGCCGGGCATGTCTGGCGTGTGGGCTTCATCGCCGTGAGCAAGGGCCAGCGACAGGAGAGATGCCGCGGCGGTTAGTGCGAGGGTGGGCGATTGCATTCAGAAGCAGTTGGAGGAATAGCAACTGGAGAGGGGTGAAGATTTGGGAGAGAGGGGGGAGAGAGAGGCGAGGGTAGGGTGAGAGGCGCCTTTGTCCGTCTGGGTCGGCGGGCAGTGGCCGGGGAGTGGAATATAGGCAGCGGAGGCAGGTGCCAGTGACGAAATGCGGAAGTCGGCGTGAGGTCGTTAGCGGGTGTGGGTGGCCAGGTGCCAGGAGTAAGAGGCGGAAGCAGGGCTATTTGAAGTCACAGTCACATCAGCAGAGCACCTCAGTAGCAATTATCCCCGAGAGTCGCGCTGGATGCACGAAGTTTCTCGATCATGACGTGGGTTCCGTGGACGCAGAGGCAGCCCTGTCACCTCGGCAGTCGACCAGTCACTGCGAGGCCCGCCATCCCGAGAGATCCGGCCCATCACCAAGACGTCGACAATGGATGCTCCCAAGCCGCCGCGCCTGATGGTCACACCAGCCTCGACCGTAGTGTTGCGCCCCCAGTCCCAGTCTCCGGGCAGCGAGCTAACCTGACCTCTGATATCAACCTCATCAGCTTTGGCGTCAGCGTCGCCCGCATGTGCTCGACGGAAATAGGACTTTGGCGGGACAACACCATCACCAGCTGATTCAGCTTTTTCCGAGAACATGACCATCCCATCCCATCCCGGCAGGCGGTCCCAGCCGTCGACTGTAAAGTAGGCATAAACCACACTCTGGCCCTGCTGGCCGAACATGCCGCGAATCCATGCCGCGAATCCATGCCGCCACAGTGGGTGTCGAATGAGTGCACTTGGGGAGCATTCATCTACTGCTACAGTCACGCTTAAGGAGCATTCATCTACTATTGTAGTCACGCTTAGGGAGCATTCATTCACTACTATAGTCGCGCTTAGGAAGCATTCATGCCCTGCTACAGTCAGACCTAGGGTGTATCATTTCTTTCTTCATCGCCACATGCTCGACGCCGCCAAAAAAAAAAAACTCGACTTTTCCGTTTGCCCCACCAGCTACCGAGCGAATCCTGGGGTATCGTGGCCCGAGTCATGCTCGGAGAGAGCCTTGCGCGCCCGGCCCCGTTTGCGGACCGCCCGTTATGCTGTACCTACATACCTTGGCCATCACATCATTACACTGCACATTCAACCCTTGCTTGCTGACGCCCGCCATCGCGAACTCGCTCTCTCTTTCTACAATCATCCCATGCACCACACCTGATGCTTCAACCTCCATCAAACTGCCAATCAACAGCCTGCGCTGATTGTCAGCGCTTTCCCTTCCGCTCTCGAGTGGCGGTCGGGCTGCTTGGCGTCCAATCACTTTGGACTGTTGTGGGGGAGCAGCATGCATGTCGGCGGATAACAAACTTTACAGCATGCTGCACCCAGTCCCCGCACGTGGCATCAGCAACACATCTCTGTCGGCTGCTGTTGCTCACATCGGCCAAGAGCAAACCGCAAAGCTCGGCCAGCGCCATGCCATTCGGAGCCCGGACTCTGCCAATCCCGAGACAGCGCCGCCCGATAATTGAGCGCCCACCAGTCCATCACCGTTTGCTATACAAGATCGAACCAGATCGGAAAAATCTGCTGGTCCACGGCCTCATTCGCGCTGTCCGCCGCTGTCGCCGCGTGGTTTTATTGCCTGCCGCTGCTCTCCGTCGCCTCGAATGACTCTTTTTGACGTAAGCGAGCTGCCATCACAACCAAACTCCGCAACTCCCGTCCGGTTGGCTCTCACCGGAATTCTGTTGGTCAGCAATGCCAGGGTCGATGTGCTTCTGACATTTGACACCCGTCACTGCCGGCGCGTAAACAAGCAAGCTCGCCGACTAAAACAACCCCATCCGCTGGCACGGGTCCAGTGCAAGCCGTCGACACGCGAATAGGCGAGCACGAAACTAATGCATAGAGCCTGACAGAAGCATCGAGGCTACGCACGAGCAAAATATGAAGTGTGGCTCTTTTCCGCATTGCTGCTCCTTGCTCACTGTTGGCTTGTTGCGTACTGTATGTGACTGGTCAAGTCAACCCAGCATAACAATCCAACATGTGTCGACGTTGCTACTTCTGCTGCCTGGCTGATCAGATTCCTTGTGCACTTACTGCTCGACATGCTGGTCTATCTGACGGCGACCCCAAAAGACCAACACCAACATTCCAACGTTGTCATGTACCGTTGTGACGCCATGGGCGCACGCATCCCACGCGAAACGGACCGGCGCGCGGACGCGCGATTCTTTCCACTTCGACGACGACGGCAATCCATCGGGTGACCTCACTGTCGATGTCTAGACCGGCGCGACTCTTCACAAGCGGATCGAACAGCGCGACCAGACCTTCCCTGTAGCCGCTCGCAGGATTCGTGCAGATTGCTCGCGCAGGCGTTTCCCGGTTCGTCGTCGGCTGTCACTCGCTGCTCCGTCTTCTTTTTCGTTGTCCGTCTGCTGTTCGGCAAGCTCTCCCGCTCCCCGCCCGTGCGCTCGCCTGCGGTGGTCCACAGCATCCCTGGCTCCCGTCTTGTTACCTGACTTTGGAAGACTCCGATCTCGGTCTTTTTTCTACCCCTTTGCAACAGCATATTCATATACCGTCCATTGCCCGCCTCCTTCATCAATTCACACCGCGGGTCTGTGGTCTAGGGGTATGACACTCCCTTAGCATCTATCCTTGTAAAGGAAGAGCTTCGATATGGGAGAGGTCCCGGGTTCAATTCCCGGCGGATCCATTCCTTTTTGCCGTTGATTTGCACTATGTCACATCTTTTTTGGATGAGTTTTGGTGTTGAGATCGCTTTTCGCATTCCGAGTTGGAGAGGGTCACGTGAATGGAAATACTTGTGGTCGGTTGCACCGAAATCGCTTAGCGCGGTGGGGGATCTTCGGCTAATCATGCCACTAGCCTAATGCGGCAAGCACTGGCACCTTATTGCGTCCTCGTTGCATCGCTATTGGGCTACCGACTTGTCGACGTTGCTGCGAAAATGCTGTTGAATTTGTGCTGTTGATTTTTACTCTGCTGGATTACAGCTTTCATTGTTTTGGCGATGTGCATAGTTCTTTTCAGGTCTATCCATCTCTACAGGTCCTTAGAGAAAATGTCTCGAGTTCTCGGTCAGAAATTCATTTTTAAATATATTTGTTTATTGGCGACTTATATTGGCTGCTTTGATGCATTAATTGAGATGGCCGATGGCGATGATGCTGTGGCATTATCTTATACTTAAAGACGTCTATCTAGCACACCAACCACTTTTTTTTATCTTTATTGTCTGTCGGTTCTTTTCTCTCAGCTCTAGAAATGTAGAGATATTCAGGCATGAAATGTCACTTTCTACCATTTGCACGGAACCAGATTAGTTGACAGAGCTATGGACTTCTCGCCCTTTTCTCAAGCCAATCATCTCAAATCCAGAATCTAGCCCACACCAAATCTAACTTCACAAAAGCCTCAGGATAAGGAATAATTCAATTCCCTCACAAACAACTACGCAGCACCACTGCCTCCACCAGCAATCACACCCCCAGATCCCAGGAAACGAACACAGGGAGCGAACCATCGTCGAACCGCAAGTCAACGGACGCTACGCTGCCTGCCCCCTCCCACTCTTGGACCCCCCGCAAACACAAGACCCTACCTACCTACGCGTCGACGCGCAGCCTTTACGAACGAGTCCCGCGGAGGAAATTGCCCCGTTTCTTCCTCTCCCTTCCTTGCCTCCCTTCCTTCTAAACTAGCATCACAGTGAAGGAAGAGTGATACCAAGGAGTAGCGGACCTTGGCTCCGTCCGTTTACCCCGTGTCTCCGTCTGTTCCGCGATGCGGAGCCAAGGCCCGAGCGTGCTTGGTGACAAGACTGCCAGATGGGGGAGTGGAGCTTGTTTGGCTGGGAGGGCAGGCAAACTGACGGATAGATGGATGGATGGAGAGACGGAGACGGAGCGACTGAAGTCCGTCTCCGTCCGCGTCCATGTGGCCGCGTCGCTCGTGTCGTGCCTGGGCAGGTTACGTATGGTGGTGTCTAAGGTACCTAGGCAAGGCGGAGCAAAAGCAAAAGTTACCGCTGCCGGTTCGCGCGGAAGACGCGGAGACGTTGCGCCACACGCGGGCGCAAGGTGGAGGAGGCTGTGGCGCTGGAGCCGGCTCGCTGTACGAGAACAGGCAAACTTTGTCGCTATTTTCTTTCTGTCTCAGTGCGCAGGCTGCTGCTGCGACACGCCACGCCAAGACGGCGGGCGGAAGCGGAGGGAGGCGGAAGCGGAGGCGGAGGCGGAGCTCGCGATGCGTCCTGCTTGGCAATTTATCTGCTAGCCTGACGTGGCCGGAAGAGGAAGTAGATGAGAGGCAGACGGTCTTTTTGGGGGCTGTGGTTCGTGATCGATGGCGCTGCAAGCGAGCGGGCTTAGATTGGGAGCAGCAGGCAGCAGTATCGAATGGATGCGCCGGCGTTGGGAGATGGCAAATCATGGCGGTGTTGGGGTAGGCGTGTGCGGCGAGTATGAGTGTTTGGTCAGTCGATGGAGAGATGGGCTTGATGTTGTGTGGTAGGTGGCCAGAGGATTCTGCTCGCCGCTTGGGAGGAAGCAGCACAGTGGGTGTTGAATGAGGTGAGACTCCCTGGGTCTAGCTGCGGTAGTATACAACTGCTTTCTGAGCGCAACTGTTGCCGCGGATGAATGCTCCCTAGATGCACTCACATTGCCAGGAGATCTCGTTTCTCTCGACACCCACTGTATCACCATGATCGAGTTCCATCCAGTGCTGCTGGGGATATTAACACCTCTGTATGATCTGCATGATGGCCAGTCGGCTGGCCAGCCGGATCTCTCATCTGTCTTCTAGTCCTCAGTACGAGTGCGCGTAGCATGAAGTGGACATCGAGGAACACCAGACGGCTGAACTCAATAAAGTGTGCATCAGTATGAGCGCCGACAACCCATCTCTCAATATCCCAGAAAGGCAAGCAAACCTCTTCAGCGACCGAGGTATTCATGATGTTCTGGACTCTCTTTGGTGTGGCATATGTAGTCGTTGTGGCTAGCACTGGAAAGTGAGCCCCTATTGCTCAGTTGGTCTGGGCCAGAGATGCGCTCAAGAGTACGGTCGATCTGCGCCGACAACATCTTGTCCATTCGTATTGCGATTATTTTCTCTTCCAGTCTTGTGTTCTCAGCATTAGACGACGATGCTTCCTCCCGTCCATCCATTGGGTATATCCATATCAACCTGCGTGCGCCCTTGACTGCAGCCGTCAGCAGCCAAATTCATACAATACCAAAAACGCCAGTGGTCCATGTCTCGTTGCTCTTGAATGTGCTGCGTCTACATCCGCAGACAACTCGTCTCGTCGTGTGCCTTCTTGCACTCTAGCCCGCAAACTCTCGCCGAGCACCTCAGGCATCTCACTCGACCCCAGTATCCGCAAATTTCGCAAAACAGCCTTCGCGACGGGCCATCTGCAGCCGGGGGTGTAGCTCTTGCTGCTGTGTAGGAGAGCGGTGGATGCGCGAGTAGCGCTTGGATTTGTTGCTCGGATGGTAGGACGGGCACATCAGCCCTCAAAAGCGGTTCGTCGTCGTCGACAGGCGTAGGCTCCTGTTGCATGCCCGCCGCTTCTAAATCGATGATGGCAGTCTGCTGCGCAGCTCCACTCGAGGGCGCTGGACTGTTCTCCACACCAGCCGATGGAGTCGCCGGGGCACTCTCTGTCGTCGTTGCAGCGGCCGCTCTCTTGGCCGCTCTCCCCACTGCCGCTGCACCCATACTGCGTTTCCTGTTCCTCGAGCTTGCAGCCTCTGCCGTACCCGTGCTAGGTGCCGGACTGGCCGTCGCGGTGACAGATTGGCTCCCAGGCCCACCAGAGCCCGCAGGAGCAACACCAGTCCGCTGCGCCGCCAATGCCTCCTCGTCGGCCAGCCAATGTGCAAACGTGCGACCGCTCTGCAGAATCTTACGCACCGCAGGCGTCATCTTCCTGCCCTCGCGCTCGCGCTTCAGAACACCAACGCCGCCTCCTCCTGCCCCCCGCGCCTGCGGCAGCGCCACGTCCTTCTGGTTGTCGCGATCCAGCTCGGCGATGCGTTTGAGTATGGCTGTCTGCTGCCGCGCGGGCAGGTCGCTGATGGCGTTGCCGCCGCTGCCGGCATTGTACGCGTCGGCCTGATGTTGGGACTGGCGCGCGGCGGTGCGCTTGCGGCCGCTGGGGTTGATGGCTGCTTTGCTCGGGTCGAAGCCAATGTCGGGGACGTAGGCCCAGCCGGGAGCTGGCGCAGGGCCGCCCGTCGTGAAGGGTATGACTTCGATGTGCGGCATCGGTGGGCAGCGCGGTGGTTCCGGGGAGGGATAAGTTTTGATTTGGAGGTTTGGTGGGTTGGATTTGGTCGGCAGGGTTGATGTCCAGATGTTGCACAGACCTAGCGGGAGTTAACTGTATTTGGTTTAGCTGTCGATCTGGCGTGCTCTTGCCTTGGATTTCCTTCCTGGGTCGTTGATTGAGATGTCGACAGTTTGGAAATGCTTTCTTGGCTTATTCGCGTCGATCATGAACAATAGCCGCTTCTCTCATCAACAAGCAGAGATCAATCTTCGAAATCACGCGGACGACGCGCTTCTACTGCCTTTTTCGGGTCTACGACTCATAGATTCGCCACAGACACAAACGAAACAGATGATGGTCATGGTTATAAGCTACCAACTCTCGTAATTCTTTCAGTTGTCATAAGCAGGCAGCGTCCATCAATTGCATGGATGTATCTTCCTCAGACCAAACTTATATGACTTGATATTCTGCTTCTTGATATTAAAAAGGTCAAAGTACGTTGCCCCACCAGAAGTTTGGAAGGCTCAATACCAGCAAGGGGCTCCGAAGGGCAATGCCATGCTGCCACAGTTACGCTTAAGGAGCATTCATTCGCTGCTGTAGCTGCGCTTAGGGAGCAGTCGTTCGTTGCCGTAGCCAGACCCAAGAAGTTTAAGAGGTCCTGACGGGCCATCCATGTTGACCATGTGACAGCTGTCGGATGAGCTCCTTGGAGAACGCAACTACAGCTTTCATCGAACGAAACACTTCTCCGCAGTGGTGAAATCTCCAACACTCAGCCTTCAGCAACATACACAAGAACTCGCAGTTAAGCATGTGCATCAGATCAGACATGGAAACATCTCGCATAAAAATGAGCCTCGACTTGATAAGGTAGTAAACACGAGTAGTAGTGGTGGCGGCGGTGGTGGTAGATGGTAGTAGCGAGCACCCAATGTCCACCGTGAAGGTCTCTGGCTCGCATGGAACACATACATAAAACGCTTGCAAAGCAAAGGACTAAAAAACGGAAAAAAGCGACCAACCGAACCCACCGTTTGTCCGCTTCTCATGCTTGTCCTACACCTTTCTCCGCCTGACCCAATCTTCGTCCAGTTGATTGGCATGTCCCGTACGTCGTCGTGGTTGTTTGGTTCGGTTGGTCGGTCCGTGACTCTATTACACATGGATGATCTTCGTCGTCTCAGGTTCTTGTTCAACACCCCGACCCATGGTGTTCTCCACTTCGTATTTTCTTGTGGAGCACCGTCCAACGACAAGCGGCTTGCCTTGCAGTGTCTTCACCGCGACGAAAGATCTGGCGATCGTGCTGCTTTGCAGCTCAAGAAAAGCCGCCTCGATCATGTTGCTTGACTTCTGACCCATTCTTTTCAGCCCTTCAGCTGCGCAAAGGAGCAGAGCCTTTTGAG